CATCATGATTTAACACGCAGTACATTGCAAAGAAATACCAGATTTCAGTTATAAAAATTCCTGACAAATGGGTAAAAGCTCTCACTTACAAGGCACTACAAGGCACCCTCTGTTTAATGCATTCATAAAACATAAGAGAGCAATAGGCTTTGGTGTTAAAGTGTTGCGTTCCTTTATATGTCTATGAATACAAACCAAACCATTCATGGCAATCCCCAAAGATTCCGACCACCTCATTCTGCTGCACTCCACTTTCTAAATGTTTGTCCTCTGATTGTCTATTTCTATTCTATTTGAATGCCATTCATACTATGACAGTACAGTTATATAAATCCCTAAGGCTTGCACATTGGCTTTTCTACTGGAACATTGTGCAAGTCCAAATTTACAGGGAGGAAATTTAGCATGCTAAGAATTGTCAGACACTGGACTTTGACATAAGGAAATTCTTAATAATGCTACTTGACCAATATGTAATGATGCTTCACTAATTTCATTTAAAGATGAAAAAGGATTCAACTTTGGCATATTTTCAGAGATACTAATGTAATTGAGTGAGAGTGTAAGCACCCAGGAGTGATTTCATCCCATTGATCCAATACCTATACGGCTTATTGGGGAAACTAGAACCAGTCTCAGCTATCAGTGTGTTAGAGGCAGTTATACCCTGGACACTCCATCACAAGAAATAAAAAACCATCTCCTTCTAACCTAACATACATATTTGTGAAGACCTGGAGAGTAACCACACACACACATACAGGGAGAATGTGCAAACTACAATTTCCAACAGGTTTACATGCAATTAAGACAATACATACAGAGTTTTCTTCTGATTTTCTTTTAACCTGATTACAGCTTCACCTCCTACTTTGTCTTTCTATAGCCTGGCTTGAATCTAAGTGCTGTTAACCATATAGCTTAAGCACGAGGTGTATATCCAAGCAATTTCTCCTTTGTGTGGGTCTGACAATTTGCATACACGAGCTTGCGTGTTTGTGTGTGTCTTTGTATGTGTCAAATGGCCTTCAAAAATATCCATGCAGACAGACAGCTCCATTAGCTGTTCAAAAGTCATGACTAAACTTGTTTTCTTTCAGTTTTTCTGGTTGCTTTTAGAAGTTGCTGCTTCATGTGTTGGTTTTGGTTTCCATTTACACAGTTTTCAGAGCATATGTTTTTTTTAAACTGTCATCATTTCCTCTATCTTTCTTTTCTTCGAGTTCTCTTTCTTTTGACCCATAGGATGAATAAATCTACATGATTTTCCTTTGGATATGTCCCCAGATGAGAGGTGTCATTGTGTCAGTGAGTCAAACTGTGGCCTGTCAGTGGGTACTTGACTGTTTACGTGTGCAAACATGTGTGTGTGCATGTGAAGTGAAGGTGAATGTTTTCAAATAAGATAAGAAGGGTTATTGTGGTTATTTACCCGGTTAAAAAAATTTAATTTCTTAATTTAAACGGTTAAATGTTAAACACTTTTTGATTTTCAATTATGCTGGCACAAATATGACTGCTCAGTTTAAGTTGTATTGATTGAATTCCTGCAAGCAACATATATTTTCCCATATTTCTAAATGCAAATGAGTGTATATTAATTGAAACTCATATTTAAGTCAATTTTAATTAGTTTCCCATTTCATATGTATACATATACATCATACCTCAATCTTGAGAACTTATAGTCATCAATGCTCACCACTCCATTGTATATTTAGTTAAAATTGTCCCCTCTTCACATTTTAGAAACTTGCTTAAAACTTCTAATATGCCTGAAATTTCTTACAATCTCCCAATGCATGATGAGTGTTTGTTTCTTGTTTTATGTGCATAATTACCATCATTGTGACCAATGTGTCAATAACTAAATTACATAATGATGATGAATAATTTAAGTGTAATTCCCTACAAATGTTATTGGTTTAGTTTTTGTTTCAGAAATCGATTATACCATCAAATAGAGGAAAGTGCAAACATTAGATTTATTAAAAGAACACACACTTATTGAGCATTATTATAACTGCAGTAGGAAAAGTCTCATTCTTGCCATTTTGTATTTTTCAAGTTTTCACAAAATAAACACGTTTCATCTAACAGTGGTGATTTTTCATAAAATAGCAAACTTTGTCTTGTCTTTTGAAGAAAATGTTTGATTCAAACCAAATCAACCATAGACATTTGTGTCGAGAAACAAAGACAGCTTCATTTTTCCCCTTTATGAAAAATTACACCAACACTTCAATCAGTGCTTGAACCACAGTAATTGTCATGCAATGGAGCTGTAACATAGATAACTCACATTGAGACCACCATGCATAACAGAGACTTTTGCTGAATTGGTTTATTGACTTGACCAATGGTAAAATCAACCACAAACGTGCTCGAACAGATTTAGTCACCTTTATTGTTACAAAGGGAATAGAACTGTGGACTGGAGCTCTGTCATTGTGTTAAATTAACAACATGGAACTTATGGGCCCTCTACTGGAGTTACTTTTATTTCAAAATGAGCAGCATTCATTCATCCATGAGCGATCATACAACTGGACAACTGTGTTATAGTGTTAATAATGTAACTGCCCAGTAAATAAATGTACTGAAGGGGCGAACAAGAAATACTGTACCACTCCACTGGCAAGTGCGGGGGTTCAAAAGTACATTTTGGGTTAAGGAATAAGGAAAGCAGCAGTCACATCCAAGTGCACAAGCATTCACACATGTTAAGAGCTAAGGTAAATATGAATTGAACAATAAACATAACTGTAAACTTTTCAAACTGAAAAGTGCAGCTCTCCCGGCTGCATAGTATGGTGCATCGGCACATTGGCCAGACTCAAAAACCCACAAATATGATTGCATGTGTCGAAGTTGTACGCCTCAGAGCACCATGTGAGTATTTGCTGTCAGAACTATCCTGTTTTATCAGTCTGGGAGGGTCTCTATTAGAGACCCTTTTGACCCAGGGGTCTAGGGGGAGGGTTAATGTCCTTAGCCAGTAGGCATGTACGTACCTTGTGCAGTCCAACTCATAACACTGGGACTATTTCTTGGATATCTGCCATCACGACAGTGAATCGTTCCTGTTAGGAAATATTGCTGTGGTCAGCTCTCAGATTTGCTAGCCGTGGAACACTGGCGTTATGTGATGCTTCTCCCAACCACGAGCATTGCACAATCTGAGCCCTGAGTGGGTCTATTTTCATCTTATCGCTCTGTCACTAAGAGTACATGTTGGGGCGGCTTAGAGGAGAATTTCTGAGTTACAGCTTCTCTGGTGTGCCTTCTCAGGTAGCCAGATCTATGAATGATTTTTTGGCTGTCTCTAGGGGTCTTGGGTATGGAGTTTCTAGCATCTGTTGCAGAGTTCATACTTTATTCCACCTTTCTGTAGCTTTCATGTCTGGCTAACCTCTATCTATGTTGCCTTTGTCATGATCTCCACCCTCTCCATGGGCTCTACGGCCTATTTCTGGTCATCGTCCATCTTGTAGCCAAGCATCTCTAGAATCACTGCAGATTTGGTGTACATCAGATTGTTAATCTCTGAATATATTCCATAGTGGCACAAAGATCATTTTACAGACCTTCAGGAGATCCTTTGTCTCTCAGCCTAGATACTTGGAACCAATGTTGATGTTTGCCAAGGCTATCTATGATCCTTTTATCTCAGGCCACAGAGTAATATATAAGTAGTATCAGATTTAATCCAGAAAATGTTTGCTTGTTAAATCCATCTAGATGTCTATCTCGTGTCAGTGTTTTGGTAAGGGTGTCATGATTTGAAAGACAGTACATTTTTTTTAGAGATTTTCTTAACATAATGTTATTTTTGTTTGATAGCCCTATCCTGTTTTTTACTATCCTTGGAAAAGACACAATGGCCACAATATGAAAATTGGACATCATTCAGTCTTTCACATGATGGTCTTCTATCAATTATAAAATAATGCATTTGTGAAAGTTTAATGCAATACAAAATGTAAACATATTTTCACTATGTTGTCATTTGAATTGTTAGCGCATCATTTTTGGGTCAAGTTGGTGTGTCAAATGGAAAGTGAGATTTTATTTCAATCTGTGCAGATATTATAAAGTGAAAGATGGTTTCAGTGCTAATATAAACTTTGACGAAGGGATTTGTATTTTAGTGATATTCAGACAGTGCTTCATTAACCCAGATAACTCATTGTCCACATATGTGAATGGATTTTCTAAAAGAGAAAAATAAACTCTTGCTGCTATTGTCAAATCAGAGACTAAAAGAAATCACAGTTGGAAGAAGTTTGACCTGGATATCCTTGGGGGTGCAGTCACTGTTTCATCTCTATGCCCACAACAGTGTCAATGCACACTTCTTTCATTTGTGGTTTCACAATGTTACAACAAGCCAATAGGCACAATGCAAGCAGGGGTGTCCCTCTCTGTGCTCACAAAAATCATGAATGCTAATCTTTCACTAGAATGTCCTTTCTCCTAGTAACCTAAAACAGTCAATTTGCACCTGTTTTACTCCTTATTTTTTCGACTTGTAGTCTGTTAGATTTTAAAAGCTGTAGTAATGTATTCATATATTCATTTAGAATAGACAGGGCACATTAATAGACTTGTCGAGGCTTGTAAATGTGCCATATTTAGACAATTTAGAGCTAATTTACATCTGTTAACAAGTTAATGTGTATGCCAGAGTTTCTTAAAGGCCCTTTAATATTGGTGAAAATATCTAGAACCATCTGATTTTTGACTGCAGTGTAAAAAATGTTTTATCAACAGCCCAAAACAAGTGATGTTTTAATAGTAACTGGTATTTGTAGGCTCCATTACAGAATGGCATAGGTGGGAATCAATTGATCAAACGATGTGCCCATGTGACGCAAGGTCTCAGCTTCTCCTTTTTTTTTTTTTTTTACAGAGGCACAACTTCCAAACACCTCCAAATGAACATCAGTTATAGCGGTATTTGGACTTCGTAATCGTTATGTGGGGAAAATCCCACTCACATTGATAAGTGATTCATGCAGTCAAAGAAGTAGCACACTGCCTCATGTTTGAGTAGTTTTCCTCTCTGATTTAGCTCCATGAGCCCTGGACTCCAGTCGAATGTGAGCTTGTAGTATCAGAAAACCAGCCTCGTCTTCTTTCCTATAAACATGAATAGAGACCACCGCCAGTTAAGCAGGTGTTGAAAGCGTCTGTCAAACTTTGACTGGCGGTGGTCAATCCGCTCTGTGTAGCATGCACCGTCCAGTCCACACGCGCCTTCGTTGAGTGTGAAGGCTTTGGAAGCTCCTCAAACAACAGATGTTGAAGATTTTGTTTGACCATTACCTGAGCTCATTATATTTGGAACTGTTTTTTTTTTTTCCATACCGTTCTGAATCAAGCTCATTCAAATCGTTAGATTAGTTAAAACCACAAAGTCTCAAAAGGACTGGGCGTCATTTAGTTTATTGTATTGCGCATGTGTAGCAATAAGGAAAAACTACTTTCTTGACAGAACAGCCCTCTTTGCAGCCATCCAGCTTGAATGGAACAGGCAATCTTTTTTGCCAAGTGCATGATTCTCAGTGATTGTTGGTGTATTATGAAGTGGTAACTAGGGGCATTCCCCCTGTAGTCAACCATAAATGCATTAAAGCAAGCTGACCAGTCCAGGCACACTGTCCATAGCACCTGATAGCAACTCATCCGCTCAGAGCTGGGTTTTCCCAATAAAATCTTTGAAAGACCGAATGTCCCCTCTCTCTGTTTTTGGTCCCATGGGAGTTTGTTACCAGCTCCTTTTTTGTGGTCATATCTGTAAACAACATCTGAATCTACATTCACAAGGGGGCTGTATCACTTGTATCTGCAGACCTGTTCAGTTCCAGTGGAAACACTTAATGTCTGCATCCCTCCAAAGCGGCCGTCTCATATTCTCTGCCATGACCATACGATACAGGGTAACAGTACTTTTTGATAGCTCAAGAACTTTGATTATAGTTCATATTTCCGCTTCGTTTATGAAGAACGGCTACAACAAATGCCTCTTTTATGCTCTCTCCATCTTGGGAGGACCCCTGCAGGAGACTAAACAAGAACTCCAGCTGGCTGCCCACTATTTGAGTTAGTCTTTTTATTTCTTTTGAATTTTATGTGATCTCCCAACACTTCTTTTTTTTTAATCAGTCAATGTTTATCATTGCTTTCGGGCACTTTTATTAAAAAGATCATTAGTTTGCATTACTGTCTAAATACAATAGCTCTCAAGGTCAACCTCTCTCTTTTTTTGCCACTGATTTTTTTATTTTTATATTTGCCTTTCCATATTATTTTATTATGAGAACCTTTTTAATTTAGGATATCATATTTCAATACAATAACAATACAGCCTATTTTAATATAGATATTGTTAGACTTCATATTTTGTTTGATATTTTTAGTTTCTGTGGTTTTCTGGTCTTAATAATACCCCTTATTACTTTTAGACTGGTGAATATAAAACCATTCATAAATATGTAAACACAAATTTACATTAGGTGATTATGGATTCTTGCAGCATCGTTTGTGTGAATTGTTTTCAAAGTGGCTGTTAAAATTAGTATCTCTTTTTTTTAAAGACAGCTTCTTATAAATAAAATGATAAAATACAACATTTAAATGCAGTTGGTGGCAATCAGGGCAAAATTAACATACAAGTGTGAGTTTGAGGAGAAGCTTCCCTTTTTCGAATAAAAGTCTACACCCTCACTGACAGCAAATGAGGTTGTGATCAAAGATGGAAATGCCCCCATGATATCTTGCCTGTCTTACACAGTGATTGGTTTATGTGCATTATGTTTTAACAGTTTTAAGAACTTCAGAAACTATGTTTTACATGCACGTGCTGTTTGATATTGCAGAAAAGCCATCAGCAATGGCGGATCCCTGCAAACGCTTTGTGCTCAGCCCACTGCACAAGTCTTCTTGTAACATCCTGTTTCACTGGTAGTGTTTGACAACAGACACTAACATTTTCCCCATTTGAGACATTTCCCAAAACACCTTCAACTTAGTTTCAGCCCACGTCTGACCATAGAGCTGTTAGATGTAGGGGTCAGCCCACGTCTTTGGGAATGAAGTTCATAAATGTATCTACACGGGAGGACTGACAGCAAAAGGGAGCAACACCGCTTCCCCACGCCGGTGGAGGAAGTGTGTTCTCACTCTTCCACTTCTCACGCTAACGTCACCTGTCACGGTCGGGGCAGAGCTTCGGTTCAAAGTCACGTCTGACCCCCGACCACCTCGCCACATCCATCTATCCCCTTCCCGCGTTTTGATGGAGCGCTACGCGTTCTGGGCCGAGCGCGCGCACTGGCGCGAGCGCGCCGGTTGAGACGTCAGGATTGGACGCAGCGGGGGATCCCCAGTATTCCGTCTCTGACTGGCTTGGGCGAACCGTAATCTTTTTTTTTTTTTACCAGGAGGAGGCTTGTTGAAAAGAGCAGGAGCGCTGGACGGCGCTCGCCACACTTCGCGCGCGCGCTCTCTCCCTCCCTTCCCGCGTCCACGACGGACCGGTTGCACGAGCCGCCGCTTACGCCGCGCGCCCGCTTAACTGCGGGGCTAGAGAGTGGGAGTCAGAAGCGGGTTCGAGCCCCCTCGGTGATTTTAGGATATTTCCCACAAAAAAGAAAGGAGCGAGTTGGACGATAAAGAAAACCTAGCTTGGTGAGAACTCTGGGAGCTGGTTCGGGTTCGAGTCGAGCGGCAATTACTTCACGTGCGCTGAGCTGCGCGCGCCGGGCTGTGTTTGTTATCCTCCGGCGAGAAGGAACAAGGCAGGAAACAACCAATAAAGCAATACGAATTATGTTCCTTTAAAGAAAAGAAACACCCTTTAGAGACGCGAGTGAAGTTGTGGAAACGACGTTTGATTTTTTTTTTTTTTTTTGAGAAACTACAAGTTTTTTTGCTTGTTTGCTTGAATTTTTTTCAGCTTTACTTTTTTTTAAATTATCGGTACCGTCATCAGTCTATTGCCGATGAGGCCAGCTGAAGAGGCGACGGAAGTTTTTTGTTTTTTTCTAACAAAGGAAGAAGAAAACGGCCGTGGTTAGAAAGAGGAGCGGACCCCTCAGCGCCTCCCAACAAATGACAGGTAGGACAGTAGCATTTATCTGAAGTCCGACTTTAATATAAAAACACACCCAGTGACAAAAGAAGAATACATGTATTTGAAATAATACCTATGGCAGTTTTTTTCCTCTCTGGTAGCTTTCAGCTGTTAACCTTTTGTGTCTACAATGCCCCCATCCCGCCTCTCCCAAAAGATGATTTTAGGGCATTTCTGCCAATCAAGTGCCCAGACTTTCCTCCTCGTGAGGCTGACTGCTTTAGAAAATATGTTAGCTGTCGTTCAGCGCACGTAGAAACGCGCAACTGACATCACTGTTACTTTTTTTGTAAGTGCTCCGTGTTTTATTTACACCGTCCTGAAAAAAGGAGGTGCGCGCGAGCAAGAGCGCCATTTGAAAGTAGACACACACACACACACACACACACACACACACACACACACACACACACACTCACTCACACACTCACACACACAATTATAGGGAAAAAATATATATAAATACACGTATATACAGTGAACACAGATACACGCGTGTGTGTGTGTTTGTGTATGTATATAAGTATATACACACACACACCACATTACAAGAGTCGGTGTGTAGAGATGTTCACGTAAGACCATCACAATGTAACACAACGTCCGACCAAACCAAACTAATGACGGAAAATAACTTTCTCCTTTCTTTACGTCGTTCTTCAGTATGGCTGGAGTCAAGTCCAAACAGTGTACTTTCTGACTGGTTTAAACGCCCCAAAAAATTAAAAATAAATAAATAAAACGGAGGAAAGACTCACATTATTGAATAGTGAGCATAGACATAATAGTACTAATTATCACGTTTAAGATGAGGATGAAGGAAGAAATACTGTTGCTGAGACTGTTTGCGAATGAAGTTAAGCCTCATTTAAATGTATATTTTTCCAAAAAAGCACCTCTTTGAAGGATGAGGTCTGTTGTAAATTTCCAAGCAGAAACGTCCAGAGACTTGTGCAGCCCTGTGAGTGTTGGGAATGTGTGTCAGAAGATTTTTTGTATTGTAAAGCAATTGGTTTAGAATATTTGAACAAACTTACTCTATGAATTAGAACAAAAAAAAAACACCTTCTCTTCCCTTCTGTTGTGTTTTCATTGAAGCATTTATTCATCATACTCTAACATTTTTCTGGGCATTATCCCACTACGATGACCTTCTAACCCACTGAACTTACTTTTTTTTTCTTCTTTTCTGTGGATTTCTTCAGCCAAGTTGTAGTGCTCCTCCTCAGAAATGGGGCTACACACAGATAAATGTGCCAGCAGGGTCCTGCAAGGACAATGTAGCCCATTAGCTTTGACTTATTTGAAATTGTGATAATCTGACGATGCTAAATCTAAATCTATGTAATGGAATGTTTAGTAAATCAGACAAATCAATCGATTTTAGTTTGTCTCTGATTTTATGCAGCACAGAAATTAAATGGTCTGAAATATAATGTTGACTTTAATGTAGGTCTGTAAACACATTTAGTTACTATCTAATATCATTCACTTTTCGAAAGATGTTACATATATAATACAACTCTTGAAATTGATAGCTGAAAGTTGGAGTTTCTGGTCTTATTCAATATTTGTTTTTATTTGTTATTTCAGATTCTATACATTTAATAATAAATAATATCATAAAACACATCCTTTTATTATATATATTTTCATTTTGGGAAATAAGTACTGGAATGTTTTCATCATCTTTGAGTCAGCTATTTTAATTCAGACTTAGCTTAAAGATCCCGTCCTTATCCTCTGACGTGATGCATCTTGTGACTATATCAGACCACATGGGGCAAGGAAAGCACCAATCTTCAATGAGAATTTTTTTTCCTATTATATATTTTTTTTCAAAGGCAGTGGGGGGACGATCATTCGGTAGCATTGTGTAATTTATACTGCTAGATGCCACTGCATCCCACATACACAGAATAGCCTGTTCCATCGATGAGAGGTTGAACACTGAAGAACCATTTCCTTAATCCAGCTCTTTCTTAATGTAAATGGGTTCTGGGCCACTACCATATGCATGTTCCTCTCTCGACCAGAAGGATTTTGACTATTCAACCAACAGTTCCATTGATTGTCGGGCTTCGCGTCCAGATGTGATAGTTAAAAAGCCTCGCTGTAATCCTCCTCTCAACTTCGACAGCCATGTGTTTAGGGTGTGTTGACCCGCCCACAGGGACAAATTAGATAT